CTTGTGGCGGGAGGTTCTAGTCCTGATGGACCGCAGCCTCCTGCCTGAGGGGAGTGGTTGGAATAGTCCATGTGCAGGGTGAGAGGGGTCGGCTGTGATACGACCAGCCCGGCCTCGAGCTCGGGCGACGTACAGGTCCTGCAGCGATGGAAGGCTGCGGCCGATCACTTCCTCTGCAGAGCGCACAATGCGCTGTAGTTTCTGTTTGTCCCTGACTGTGGCTCCAGCGAACCACACGGTGACGGAGGAGGTGAGGATGGACTCGATGATGGCCGTGTAGAACTGCACCAACATCTGTGCAGGCAGCTTGGCTTTCCTGAGCTGCCGCAGGAAGTACATCCTCTGCTGGGCCTTCTTGATGAGGGAGCTGATGGTCGGCTCCCACTTGAGGTCCTGGGTGATGGTGGTGCCCAGGAAACGGAAGGACTCCACAGAGGTGATGGGGGAGTCCATCACGGAGGGTGGGGGCGGGGGGACAGTGCTCTTCCTGAAGTCCACAATCATCTCCACTGTCTTCTGGGCGTTCAGCTCCAGGTTGTTACCACTGCACCAGGACACCAGCCGGTCCACCTCCCTCCTGTAGGAGGACTCATTGTTGTTGGAGATGAGTCCAATGAGGGTGGTGTCGTCCGCAAACTTGATCAGCTTCACAGAGTCGTGGCTGGAGGTGCAGTGGTTGGTGTACAGGGAGAAGAGCAGGGGAGAAAGAACACAGCCCTGTGGGGCTCCTGTATTTATAATCCGAGAGTCCGAGACATTCTTCCCCAGACGCACTCGCTGCTTCCTGTCCGTCAGGAAGTCAGTGATCCACCTGCAGGTGGAATCGGGCACGTTGAGCTGGGAGAGCTTGTCCTGGAGCAGGGATGGCAGGATTGTGTTGAAGGCAGAGCTGAAGTCCACGAACAGGACCCTGGCGTAGGTCCCCGGGGAGTCCCAGGTGCTGTAGGATGTGGTGGAGGGCCAGGTTAATGGCGTCGTCTACAGATCTGTTGGCTCTGTAGGCGAACTGCAGGGGGTCCAGGAGGGGGGAGGTGAGGGACTTGAGATGGGAGAGAACCAGGCGTTCAAATGACTTCATGACGACAGACGTAAGTGCTACAGGTCTGTAGTCATTGAGTCCTGTGATCCTGGGCTTCTTCGGGACGGGGACAATGATGGAGGATTTGAAGCAGGCCGGGACATGGCAGGACTGCAGAGAGGTGTTGAAAATGTCCGTGAACACAGGAGTAAGCTCACTGGCGCAGTGTCTCAGAGTGGCCGGAGACACGTGGTCCGGGCCAGGAGCTTTGCGGGGGTGCAGCCTCAGGAAGAGTTGTTTAATCTCTTTAGCGGCTATTGTTAGGCTGGGGGCAGGGCTGATGGGTGGGTCGTTAGAGTAGTGGGGGGTGGGGGAGGGAGAGGTGTCAGGGGCAGCATCAAAGCGACTGAAAAATAAGTTCAGTTCGTCAGCTAGCTTGTGGTCGTCAGCACAGGGGGGGGCTTTGGGTTTGTAGTTGGTGATCTCCCGTAGGCCCCTCCAGACAGAAGCAGTATCGTTGTTACCAAACTGCTCCTGTAGTCGTTCTCTGTGCCGGTGTAACGCCGAGATACACTGTCTTGAAGAGATGCACAGCCTCAGCTGTTTATGATGTAATGCAAACCTGCGCATGCGCGTCTCACGGCAACCGAAGCATACCAAGATGGCGGTCCGTGAATTGCTTTAAAAGTTGAAATACGAACGAATTAAGACACGAATGTCACTTTTAATGCAATTTGAGGCGAGATGTTGATGGTTCCGTTTTGTCACATGTGGGTTTTAAGAGTCAAAGTTTTGTGCTAAGTTTAGTTTAAGCAGTCAACTGCGCCTGTGAAACCACAAAGCTAATGTTTTCATAGCAGTCCGCGGCTGCTGACGTAGGCTGATGACGCGTCCTGTGGCCACTCTACACTCTTACACTGGTCTGTCGGGTTGATAATGGAAATAATAAATTTCATTCAATACATGTATTGTACTGTATTTAATATGATTAAAAATAGTGTGTTCAAACAAAATATTTAATTAGATTGATTTTTTCCCCCATTTTCCATTATCAACCCGACAGACCAGTGTAAGAGTGTAGAGTGGCCACAGGACTGCTTAAACTAAACTTTGCACGAAACTTTGACTCTTAAAACCCATATGTGACAAAACGGGACCATCAACATCTCGCCTCAAATTGCATTAAAAGTGACATTCGTGTCTTAATTCGTTCGTATTTCAACTTTTAAAGCAATTCACGGTCCGCCATCTTGGTATGCTTCGGCTGCCGTGAGACGCGCATGCGCAGGTTTGCATTACATCATAAACAGCTGAGGCAGTGCATCTCTTCAAGACAGTGTATCTCGGCGTTACACCGGGACTTGGCTGCTTTCAGTTCTTTCCTGAACTGATATTTAGCTGCTTTGTAGCCGCTGCGGTCCCCCTCCCTGAAAGCAGACTCCTTTGCTTTCCTGAGCTGCCGGAGTTTAGCAGTGAACCAGGGTTTGTCGTTGTTATAGATGACCCTGGTCCTTGTTGGAATGATGCTATCCTCGCATCATGGATGTATGTGGATGTATGACGTCACAGTGTCCGTATATTCATCCAAGCTGTCTGTGGCAGCTCTGAAAAGATCCCAGTCTGTAGATTCCATGCATGCGCGCAGCTCTTCCACAGCTTCATCAGACCACACTTTGGAGCTCCTTATTGCAGGTTTCGAGAGCTTTAGTCTCTGTCTGTAAGCAGGAACCAGATGTATCATGGAGTGATCTGAGAAGCCGAGGGCTGGCTTGGGAACAGCGCGAAAAGCTCCGCGCACGGTGGTGTAACAGTGATCCAGAGTGTTCTCCTCTCTGGTCGGGCATTTGATAAACTGTCTGTATTTGGGTAATTCCTGGCTCAAGTTTCCCTTATTAAAATCCCCCAGGATAATAATCAGAGAGTCCGGGTATAAGCGTTCCATACACAGTACTTGCTCTGCGAGTGCGCGCTGAGCCTCGCGCGCGTCTGCGCATGGCGGTATGTAAACAGAGGCAAGAATGAATGAAACAATTTCACGAGGGGAGTAAAATGGTTTACAATGAATGAAAAGATATTCCAGAGCAGGAGAGCAGTGCTTGGAGATCACTGTCACATCGTTACACCAGTTTGTATTGACGTAGAAACACAGCCCTCCGCCTCTGCTCTTCCCTGAGAGCGCACAATGGCGATCCGTGTGGAACAGCCCAAAGCCCTGCAGCTCCAGAGCGCAGTCCGGGATCCGCTCATTTAGCCAGGTCTCAGTGACGCAGAGGACACAGGATGTGGCGAAGTCCTTGTTTCTTCTCATGAGCAGGCTGAGTTCGTCCATCTTATTGACCAGTGAGCGTACGTTGGAGAGAAAAATGCCGGGGAGAGCCGTGCGCGCTCCTCTCCTCCTAAGACGCACGAGCAGGCCTCCGCACTTTCCCCTTTTACGGGCCCACACTTTTTTGGCTAGAACATGAACTAAATCAGCCGCAGATGCCAAGAAAACAGGCAATAGTTAAAAAGTAAAAACAAAAGAAAAAGAGAGCAGCAAAGAGCCATGTCGACCGTACGAGGCGCCATCTTGAAGATCAAATAACAGGTGTTTCAAAGATAACACTCAATACAACATAATGGAAGAGAATGACATAGGGCAAAGAGGATGTTTGTGCAATCTGAACTTGTTTCATGCTCACCACAACTTAAAAAAGTCTACAACTGACTTTTCCATATAAATACTCCATCTATTATGGAAGACAAATTATTTTACAACTGCTTTCACAAAGTCAAGGTGACGCCAGCCACAAGTTATGGATAAAGTAACTTCTAAAATCTAGAGTGGGTCAAACTTTTCCCAAGTAAACCATATACAAACAGTTTAGTCTTATTCACCTTACATAAATAATTAAAAGTGAGGCATCAAGCGCATGTATCGCACGTGTCGCTAAAGGTAAAGCGACACGTGTGATCCAGGTGAACTTTATTGATCCCCTTTGGGCAATTCATCCTCTGCATTTGACCCATCCTGATGCTGCTAAGGCTTACGTCAGGAGCAGTGGTCGTCGTAGTAACAGCCCCCGGGAACCCATCTCCAGATGTTGATGCTCGGCTTGGTCAGGACCAGAGCTGGAGGATTTTACCTAGTGTGCATGTTTTTAGTAAGTAAGTAAGTAAGTTTTTATTTATATACCGCCTTTTCACTGCAGATCTGAGTCTCAAAGCGGTTTACAATTGTTAATTTTGGGCATTTGTCTCTCACTCCACACAGAGATGGGAGCGGGGCCAGTACAGGAGGCTCATGCCAGAACTATTGGACATATTTTTAGTGGTAGGGGAAACCGGAGTACCCCGAGGAAACCTACACAAGCACGGGGAGAATATGCAAACTCCACTCAGAAAGACCCCATTTCGACCCGGATTCGAACCCAGGACCTTCTTGCTGAGAGGCGAGAGTGCTATCCACTCAGCCACCGTGCTGGTGAGGGTTGAATGCATCAAACCATTGATGTAATTTCCCATCCGTAGACAACGGTCAATAATCATTTCCCAAATTGAAATTAGTACGATGGTATGGTAAGACCAGGCTAATTAGTACCACTAGCTCAAGGTGTATTACTTTAGATCCTTTTATTCATTACCACCAACAGTAACTGTGTGTGTTTTTCTGCAGGCAGGATTGTGCAAAAACGACTGAATGAATGGAGCTGAAATGTGGTCTAGATAGAATATGACATGTTTTGTTCTATTGTTTGTTTGTTTTTTGCTTGATTCTGTTTATTTCTCCCCTTTCAGTTACGTGTTAAAAGAAAACTTGTGAAAGGAAATGGTGAAAAAGTATATATATATATACAGTACATTTATGTTGGAATGATTTGTGGCCTTTGATTCCAGAATGCACTTTTGAGACATACCAGTTATGTTACCAATATAACTTTGATCTAACAAATGAATTCACATTCTAAAATAAGAAATACCGAAGTAAAGATAATATATTAACCTGGATCAAGATGGGAGAAGGAGCCAATGACAAAGTCCAGCGTAGAAACTGCCAGCGCGGCCAACAGAAGCAGCTGCAGCCGAACGATCCACTTCACACCGGCCAGATTAATGAAGAGCAGAGCTAGCAGGACAATGGCAGACACGGCCCTCACTGCCCACGGCCCCTGAAGACCCAGCAACACAGCCACAGACTCCGAGAAACCCGTGATGTACATGGCCCCAGCTACACACTACAACACAACATTTCAAGTAATCATAATACGTTATTGTTTCACTCCTGTCACAATATCATAATCACCATCTTTTTCTTCAATGTCTAAGTATCTTGATTATAAGTGTCAATACCAAGCCTTAATATTAATCTGATTCCAAATGCAGCTGTTGAGTAGCTACGTGTTCAGTAGCTACTCTTAAAGAAAGAGTAAAGAAATAACAACAATAAAAGCCAGTTAAACACACACAATTCTTCAAATGTGAGTGCGCTGTGTTTCCCCACAACAAAAACAACCCACCAGCCATCAATTTGGAAAAAAAAATGTACTTCAACATTTCCTATTGCTTAAAGGAGCAGTATGTAAAACAATGTGGCCAAAAGTGGTACTGCAGCCTCTCCCACTCTCCCTGACTCAGGTTGCCAGATATGCAGACGAATCCAGCTGGGACCATAACAGCTGAATAGACAAGAGTTTTGTCAACAACAAATCTATAACCAACACCTTTTTCACAAAGATAGAAATCCTTTTTTAGTTATGCGCCACATGGTACTTTACCAGTGAGATTAGCTCGACGCTGTTAGTTCTGGCGCCCGGATCACAGACTTTCTGATTGGTGAAACAATGGAGGGAGGGACATCAAAATGAAAACAATAAAAATATTTAGGGGCTGTAAAACTAATTTAGAAAATCAAATATCTCTGAACTACCATGATTTATTAATGCCTTTTGACAGATTAGGGCCCTTTAATGATGACCTTACATGAAAATCCTACTTAAAATATATCCCAAGATTCAAATTCAGTTCAGATTCAATTTCTTTTGCCATTTTAGATCAAGTTTGTTCCAATACAATGCTCATCTCACCTGTCCAAACACATACAAGAGAGCGACCGTCCCTCCCAGCCTGCCGCCCAGGACTGTGGAGATCATGGAGTAGATTCCTCCTCCTCCTACTCCACAGTGTTCGCTGATTCCCACTCCCGAAAACACCGTCACCAAAGCCACCGCGACCACCAGCGAGACCAGGAACATGCCCAGCAGCACTCCAGTGTTCCCCTGGGAAGAAAGACACCACACAGTTACTAAATTAAAACCTTGTAATTTAGTTATTGTAGTAAAAATAGAGGATCGAAGTCAAAGATTTAAGTTAGAAGTATAATCGTCAATGCAGAATATGTCGGTGATTACAGATTTATTGGATTACGACTCAAAGAAGGCAGTTTACAGTGATATAGTATAAGAATTGGGTGCAAATATTGAGTTTATTGTGCATTTTTCCAACCTAATACAATATCTTTAGGTCGTTCTTTGTATTGATCCCATACAGAGCGATACTCTTTTATCAAATACACAAGCTATTAAGATACAAAAGCTCTCGTAACTGCTTTTCCCAAACAGTGGAATGCTAGGTTATTAGTTTAATATGCTCAAGTTATGAAATATAGTAGGATTAGAAACACATTCTTTCTATGGAAATGTAAATTGTGCCTTGCTGAAATAAAGGACAGGTCGTGAATGGGAATCCCTTCGTTAAACAACTTACGACCAGGTAGCCAGTTCGCAGAAATAGCACCACTCCAAATATGTTGATCATGCAGGAGGTGAAAACACCGTCCCAAGTTCCAAATAGGACAGGCTCCCAAACAAACAGCTTAATCCTCCACCAAGGCTGACCAGACAGCTGGAAGCCCTGGACAAAAACAAAGTGTTCAGAATATAGTACAAAAATCATCACAATTATTTAGTCCTGACTAGAACCAGGAAGTACGACCACATTAGTCCAGTCCTCAGGTCTCTGCACTGGCTTCCTGTGGCTCAGAGAATAGACTTTAAAACAGCTCTGCTTGTTACAAGTCTCTCCATGGCCTCGCACCAAAATATATTAGTGACATGTTAGTCCCATATGAACCAGCCCGGACTCTGAGGAGCACAGGGACTGGACTCCTGCTGGGACTCTGAGGAGCACAGGGACTAGACTCCTGCTGGGACTCTGAGGAGCACAGGGACTAGACTCCTGCTGGGACTCTGAGGAGCACAGGGACTAGACTCCTGCTGGGACTCTGAGGAGCACAGGGACTAGACTCCTGCTGGGACTCTGAGGAGCACAGGGACTAGACTCCTGCTGGGACTCTGAGGAGCACAGGGACTAGACTCCTGCTGGGACTCTGAGGAGCACAGGGACTAGACTCCTGCTGGGACTCTGAGGAGCACAGGGACTAGACTCCTGCTGGGACTCTGAGGAGCACAGGGACTAGACTCCTGCTGGGACTCTGAGGAGCACAGGGACTAGACTCCTGCTGGGACTCTGAGGAGCACAGGGACTAGACTCCTGCTGGGACTCTGAGGAGCACAGGGACTAGACTCCTGCTGGGACTCTGAGGAGCACAGGGACTGGACTCCTGCTGGGACTCTGAGGAGCACAGGGACTAGACTCCTGCTGGGACTCTGAGGAGCACAGGGACTAGACTCCTGCTGGGACTCTGAGGAGCACAGGGACTAGACTCCTGCTGGGACTCTGAGGAGCACAGGGACTGGACTCCTGCTGGGACTCTGAGGAGCACAGGGACTAGACTCCTGCTGGGACTCTGAGGAGCACAGGGACTGGACTCCTGTTAGTGCCCAGAGTCAGAACTAAACATGGGGAGGCTGCTTTTCAGATTCATGCTGCTAAAATCTGGAACAATCTTCCTGAAGATGTGAGACAGGCCTCCTCTCTGACAATGTTTAAAACCAGGTTAAAGACAGTTCTGTTTAGCTGTGCTAAAACTGAGGGATTGTATATTTTATATTTTTATCTTTCTTTTTAATGTTCTGTGATTATTTATGATTTAATGCTTTCTTATTTTGTTCAGCACTTTGAGTTGCCTTGTGTATGAATTGTGCTATACAAATAAACTTGCCTTGCCTAGTAATCATTATCAGATAGATTTATAAGGCAAATTTGGGAACTAGATTTAGAAGTAGGACTGCTACCTCATTTCAGTCTAGTTGAAATCACAATATTAGTCCTCGAAATCAGAAAATTATAAAGTTACTAAGGCTGGACGTATAAGAACTGGAATTGTAGTTTTGAGTTGAAGATTTTCAAATAGGGCAACAATAAGTTTCCTTTCATTACAGAAGAGAAATTGCTTGTCTTAAATTTAAAAAACACAAATAACATTTTATACTTGTTACATTTGTAAACATTCCTCCAATGGACTGGCTTGATGCCCCTGGTCGGGTTTGTGAAGGAGGCAAAAAGAAAAAGAAAAACAAGGGCCATGAAGTTGCCCTAGAGCCAGGCCTGGGGTTGGGGCTCTTAAGTGAGTGCCTGGTGTTCAGATAAAACAATAAAATGTTTCATACTAGAAAAGCTAATATCTGTAACTTAGAAGATAAGATAAGACCAGCTAATACAAAAGAGTCTTCATTTGTCTCACAGTAAGAACATTTTTCTGTTGTAGCCCACGTAGAAGTCAGTAAGTCAGGGAATAGAAGCATGGCTAACCACAATGAATTGGACACACACAGGACCTTTTTACAAATTTAAAAAGATCAAAGTGTAGATATGTGTTTAAAAGAAAGACGTATTAGGTAAGCTGTCAGAAAAATTTGTACCAGGAAAAATACTAGATCAGTTCTACTTGATAGTGACTTGGCAATGGCACTGACAAATGGCAATTATATAAAACATATAGATTTTGAAACAGAATTGACTGATATAAAACATACTGAGAAACTAGGACTCTCTACACCTCTTCCTCCAAGCATGACTCTTAGGTTCAACTTTTCACTCTTTTTTCCTACTTTTAGATTTTTTTGTTTTGTGTGTCTGTCTAAACGTGTGTGTGTCCTGAATTGTGAACATAAACTGTATATAATAATTTATTTATATTTTAATATTGTGAAGCGTCTTTGAGTTTTAAAAAAGCGCTATATAAAACCGATGTGAGATTGTTATTATTATACTGTACATAGATTTTCAAATAGAATTGCCGTACCTGTGCATCTTCATGGAACAGCTCATACACCTGAGAGTTGGGAGGTTGTCGGTCTTGCAGCAGCCCCACACGGTCACAGGTGTGCAGTGTCCAGCCGACAGGTAAACCCTCCATTGTAAACTGTGGAGCCGAGCAGCACATTGGCATCAAAACACATATCGTGAATCTATTGTTTACACAGCACCTCCATTGTGCAGTAATTATTCACCCATTGACAAAGCCAACAAGGGAGCATCCTCTGTGCGCAGGTGGTTTACGTGGCCATCCGGATACTGCGTGTGTACTTTACTAAGCGTAGGGATGATGGATAAATCAACATTAGCTGGAATTAATGACCTAATGTTTATTTTCTGTGCATATACAGTCTATAATCCCTTGCCTTGTACCCCCTCATTGCTATTTCACCGTAAAATGTAGTTAACCTTTTAATGGGTTAACCACGTGACAGTTTAAAATACTTGTTAACTGATTTTGTCAATAAATTAATAAAAAAAAATATATATATATATCATTTGAAAGCGAATTGAAAGTAAAAGGTTCATATCAATATCTCAAAGCCTAACCAACACGAAAGTGATACAGGAAACTATTTTCAGTAACAGCACGTATAAATATATTTTGGTCAAACATTTTATATTTTCACACGTGCTCACCTGATGTTAGCGTTTCCACGTCTTTTCACCACGTAAACAAATCATATTTAACTTGTCGGTGCAACACTTCCATCTCTGTGTGTGGAGTGAGAGAAAAATGCCTCTCAGACGGTGAAAGACGCTAACTTAATAAAAGCGACTGCTCACTTGCTAACAAGAATATTTATCACAACATTTATCCTACATTTTTGGGTGGTTTTCATCCAGTTTCCGTGTCCAGTGCTGCAGCAGTCCAGGCTCCGAGTGTTGCACGATAAGCTTTGTAAATGAACTGTTGGTTTTGGCAGGGCCCAGATCTCACACAGAGATGACTAACCTGGAGATGGTCCCTGTTTGGCCTGTTTGTCTGCTTACTGGATATCAACTCTGAAATAAGTCTGATTTGAGAATTTTGAAAACATTAAATCAATCAATCAACTTTTATTTGTGGAGCGCCTTTCATATTATCATCTGCACACTTTGGGCTGACTGAAGGATGTCCTCTCTTTTCTGTCTGAAATGCTCTGGTTAAATTTAGTTTTTTTTATATGTATAGTTCGAATTTTGTTTGTTTGGAAGTTGGAAGCGTATCGGCTACTAATGGCAAAATACTTCAATATCCTTTTCAGTGAATATATTATTATTGGTAACATCTTGTATGTTTGGACAATTTTTTCAGAAGCGTATAAAACATGCACAAACTATATTTAAAATGAAAAATAAAAAAAAGAAAGTAATAGTATAGAAGGACCAGTTAGTAGGGAGAAAAATTCTAAATTTCTAAATTTACTCAAATTACTTGAGTAAATTTAGAACAAGTCTGTCCTCTCCACAGATCTGCATTTGATCCTTGTTGGAATCATAGGTCCAAAATATATGTATTATTTATATTTATATATACATAATCATCACTTTCATTCAGAAGACATGACGCACAACAATCAAAAGCCAGACTGTTTACAAATAATAAAACACTGCAAATAATGTAATCTCGGGTTACTTTACTAAAATCAATTAGCTACAATTAAAGCTGCACATACTGTAATTCATACACAAGTTCACTCAACCCAACAGTTATGTCCATGCATAAAAGCAACTGATGCACCAGGACTTGGATGTTCTTCAAAAACATGATCCAAACAACTGTATTTGAGAAACATTGACACAAAAGACGCCAACAGATAAATGAGAGCAATATTAACTGCATACAATATACTGTACATATCAGTGCCTTAAATGACGTTTCAAAAATAGTATTTTTTTTATCAAAATGTCTCATTTCAGATTTTTACACAAAAGAAATATTCTACTAGCTTATACAAGGACACTTATGGCCAGTTGTCTAACAACAATTGATGAAAGTGAGGTTTCGTGAGGTTTTGCCAATTGAGGCAATTAAGCCTTTTTTTTTTTCAAAGCAAAAATGAAATGGTTCTTTGTGCTTTAGAATCAGTTTAGATCTAACGCTGATGGGGTGGAATATTGCAAATATCACTTCTACTAAATTAACTGATCCGACAAAATGTGTACTACAATGTTGCACATTGATGAAAGTACATAAATGTGTAGCAGTAGAACACATGATGGTGGTGTGTGGATACAAAAAACAAGGCATTTTACTGTCCATAATATAAAACAAGTGTTTCCCATTAATAGCGACAATGGAGACCTGTTGTCTAAAATTCTATCATTCTCTAAAAACAATGTGGACTATACATTGATTGGCACAACAAAATCACTCAGTTTCATTGTTTTCTATATGAAATAAAAGGAAAAGTGACATTTTACACACAGGCTATATAAGGTAAAACTATGAATACAAAATATTTGTGCCAGTGCCACCATAGTCTGCACTACGGGAAACACTGTAAATGATGATTTTAACAATTCATGTGTCATTCACTAACAAAAGGAGTTTTATGCCTCAGTCTAACAGTACTTCTCTGAACAGAAAAATATACAACTTATTTACAGCACATATCTCTGTACATTCTAGAAGGAATGTTCTATGCATGAAATCTGGTGATCACGTGATTCCCTGATTGTCTGTTTTTAACATTAGGGAATAAAATTGTAATGATTATATGTGATGTGTAGAAAACAGTGTGAACGCAGTAGCACCTAAAACACACAAAACAGTCAAACAATGGGATCATGAATTACAGGTCAGTAAATTTGAATACTTTGGGAAAAGGTTCTACTCCAGTGAAACATAGGGTTGAACTCTTAAACAAACCACCATCATTAATCTTCAATTTTGGTTTTAATTCTTGCCAAAATACAAGCAAAACAAGTTAAATGAGTAAGATCTCATTTTAATTATTCCATAATATTCAAATTCACTGCCTTATCATATGCATCGTATGCAGAAGGCCTAACAAAGATTATCAGTAGCAGGCAGGTGATACAGACACTATGTACAAATGTACAACCAATCTGAAATGTTACTTCTACTCTGGTTAAGTACAGATATTAGCCGAGTGCCACTTATTGCAACTGAATAAAATTAAAGAGAAGTGCTGGTATAAATAAACCTCAATGTTAGATTACAGGCTGCAAGAAAGATAGCTTATGTATTAGTTGTGCAACTGGAATTATTTGCCTTAATTCACTGACCTAGATATAAAGTGTACAAACAAAATAACGCAGGAAAGGCGAGGGTAAAGAAAAAGGATGCACAGATGCAGGTTTTGATCAAACTGAGAAGTAAAAAAACCCAATGTTTAAGTGCTGCGCCAATCTACAAACTGCATCTATCAAAGTGATAAACAATAAACACATCGTATGGACCTTGAGTCCGGAATAAAGATTATTAAAAGACGCATTGATTCAAACTAATGTACATTCAAAACATACAAGTCTTGTTAATATTCTTTTAAATGTAATAAATGTTCAACTGACATTAAAATGTGCTGATTGTGCAGAAACTTGCACAATCCTTTTAAAGTAACTTTTACCACAGTTCAATTGAAACGTGTTTTATCCTGCAACCATTACATGTTTACAGCTCTTTGATATCCATCAGCTTTTACTACAATTTTTAAAAGGGGAAAACATAAATAACACGTGACACAAATTTAGGGTGACATTTAAAGTGACTAACAAAGTTGAGATTGTAATTTCTAAAGGCAAATTCATTTTACGTAAAAAAATATTAACATCAAGGGTGGTATCAGTAAATACCTTCCACACAACTGGATGACGGGCGCCGCAGCGTTACATCACTGCAGTCTGAATACTAAAGGACTAAATGTTTGGAGAGGGAGGTAGCCATCAGGCAGCAACACAATCTCAACTAAATTAAATCAATTATTATTGCTGTTATTGCAATTAAAAAGAATAAAAAAATCACAAAAATGGGATTTTGTTTTGACAAAAGATCAGTGCTTTGGTTGTTCAAAATGCCCTTTTCACAGTAGACCTCTGCTAGCTCCGATTGCCTCAAAGGTGTCTGCTCTCACTTAGCACTCACTCACGGCAGGGAATCAGCCTAAATTAAATAACTGTAAAAAAGGTCCTGCTGTAGAACAAGTAACAGGTGAATAATCTTTAGTCTCACTCCAGGAGATCCCAGCAATGCAGCGGTTTGGGTTGAAATAATGTTTTTAAACACCATATATTACACGTTTCAGGACTTCAGTACAACATGTTTTTTTAACTCAAAGTTAAATTAGGTTAGCATTAGCTTGCAGACACCTACAAAGGAAACTTTTTCATAAAATATTGGTTTACTTATTGTGACTCAACTAATTCCCTGCAGAGAATGAATGGGAGTGAACTAACCAGGCACTGCTGTGAAAAAAGGCTATTTTTTTCATCCATAAGTTCTAAACAATTTTGACCTAAACTTAATTCTAAAGTGGGGGTGGTGAATTGAAATTAAAACACAGATAAACATAAAATGGAAAAAAAGAATCTTTCTCTGAGAAAGACAGAGGATAAACAAGAACATAATTTGGCAAACAGAAAATAAAGATAAAGTGCTGCTGAGAGTGAATTTCCAGCATCTTCCTTCAGAAGGTTTCACTGGAAGAAACATCAGGGGAGGAGTTGAGTTGTGATCTGGTTTCTCGAACTAAAGTGAACTCTGAGAAGTCTGTGCCGTGTCCACGTAGACTGACCTGTCCATTGGCAACAGTAAACTGTGAGGTGGATCCAGATCTCGATGTCTGGAAGTGGGACTTGAAGTTCTGGTCAAATGAGCTTATCTGAAAGGTCTGAAGAATCCCTTGTGTTGAGTCGGACTTTTTGGGCGAAACCTGCTCCAAAAAATCATCATCAGCGGGGGACACGGCTGAAGGGGGTGTGGTCTCATCACCTGAAAATGAAAATGAGTGCTGCGAGTCCCCCACCCCTACCAGTAATCCAAAGTGAGGCTTGTCTAAAGTTGATCTCAATGGAGAACTCATCCCTGATTTGAAGCGGCTGGGAGATGGGAACTGTTTCTCAGTTGCAAACAGTGGCTGTCCTGCAAGAGGAGGGCTCTCTGAGACCAGGCTGAGGCTTTGACTGGTCAAGTAGCTGTCGTTTTGGCTGGTCCTTTCAAGTGCTTGTTGAAGGAATTTGGAATATTCTTGCAGGAGAGTGACCTTCTCTGTGGGAGGCTGAGTAGGGGCAGAGGAAGCTGCAAGGCTCTCCACAGGACTGCTGTCAGACACGTCTGATGAATTGATGGATATACTGGAGGTCACCTCTGTGTCGGCTACACTGAAGGAGATGTCCGCCTGCCCGTTGGCCTTATTGGAGTAGTGGTCGAGCAGCGTCTGCAGGACTTCATCAGGGAGCACACTCTTCTCATGGGCTCTGGTGTCAGAGTTGAGAGGCTGAGGCTCTAGTATTGTGGCAGGGACAGTCTCATCGATCACAGTGGACACTACTGTTTGACTGACAGGCGTCTGAGTCGAGAGGCTGCTGGTGTAATCTCGACTGTTGTTGGTCACAGCAGCATGGAGGTATCTCTTCTTCTTTAGAAACTGCATGGCGTCATCATAATTCGTGCTGCTTGGTGCAGGCTTTGTTGAGCCACTTTGAAGAGTTTCTACTGATTCAAGTGCAGTATTTCCATCTACATCCAAAAGGCTTTGCTTATCCACAATTTCAAATGTATATTGTGTAACTTTGTCTTCACCGTCTTCCTTTGAAGAGAAGAGCAAAGCGGGAGTGGCCTGTTCACTGGACTGTGCAATTGTTCTTTTTGAGATTTTCTTCAGAATTAATTTGTGAGGAGTCGACTCTTCTGAAAGTTCTATGTCCTGATGTTGGCTGGACTCCTCCTGAAGCTCCATGGAGTAGTCTGCCATCACATACTCATGTTTAACTTTAGAGGACACAGAGTAAAGGGTACCTTCGATTTTGCTTTCTCTGTGCTCGTCTTTCTCGTCTGTTTCTACAAAAGTAACTGTGTGCCCTTCTGCCTGAGTGGCAGCGATAATATCAGGGCTCAGTGTTTTTTCAGTGCACTTTTGGCGCTTCTTTTTGGGCAGCGAGCACTCTTTGGCAGGAAACGTGATGTTAAAATAATCTGGTGCATGTGAAGGTCCGACTTTCCCGCCTGGCTTGTTGCTTCTTCTCTCTTTGTTCTCATGGCACATTCTCCTGTGCTTCAAAACCCTGTCTGTCCTGGAAAAGTACTGTGGAAAAAGTATTGTGTGTTGGTTATTGTAGATGAGCAAGAACAACACCAAACAATATGAATTTACCTGGTGACAGTAATCACACTGGTAAGGCTTCTCTCCGCTGTGTGTCCTCTTGTGCCGTTCCATGTGATACTTTTGGATAAATCTCATGCCACACTCATCGCATCGAAAAGGCTTCTCTCCTTAAGAAGTACGAGAAAATCACATGATAATGACCAACAGTAATCGGTTTCATCAAACTCACTCAACTGTTGCACTTTTATAAAGAATGATTCTGTTCAATCGTGTCAGTGATTTTCCTGCTTTTGTAAAGTTTGTGTTTGCACAATATGTACAGGGACATTATTCAATAGAGAACTTACGAAAGGACCTGAGCATGGAACTAGATACATGTTGCTCTGAGTGACGTGAGCGACTCACCAAGGCAACATTCTATTGACCGTTTTTACTGCTTTGTCCTGACTGTGCAGCGCTTTATAATCACTGTTTTTAAAAGAGCTATACAAATAAATATGATTAATAATCCACTGGGTCATGAGATTAGAAAGATATATGGCATGGCATAGATTGACAAGTGTGAGACACTACAGAAGTGACCACATTATACACAATTTAAAATGTACATTATTAGAGTTTGGACTCGGCTTTTTACTTACTTAATAACAATTACATTTTACATGTTACATTTAAACTAAAATAAAACTGGATCAGACTGAGAATGTACTCACCAGTGTGGATCTTTTCATGTCTCTGTAGAAGATACTTCTGGATAAAGCGCATGTCGCACTGAGAGCACTTGAATGGTTTCTCTCCTATGAATAACAAGTCACTTTTTAAATCTGAGATTTTGTTAAACTGTGAAAAAGCAGAATATGTGTAAATACCTGTGTGGATGAAGACGTGCCTCTGCAGATGATAGTTGGTTCTGAATGAAGCGTTACAGTGAAAGCACACATGACACTTGGGGCTCTGTATTCCCACTGATCCGTCCTCATTCACTGCCAGAATCTACCCAAACATGAAACAGAATGTTTTTATTCTAGTTTGTTTAACTGAACTTGCTTGTGCAGATTAATATTACAAACCTTTGCTGGGGAGCGCTGCTTCCTTTTCTTCTTTTTGGGTGACATTAGGTCCTTTACTGCTTTTTTGTCTTTTTTAATCAAGGGTGAAGGCTCTGTCAGCTTCAATTCTTGTTTTATGGTCAACTGTAGAGACAAGACCACGAGTGATAAAGACATTAGAAAGAGCACATGCATTATAAACTAAACACATTCTCTTAGTTACCGGCATATGAAGCAAACATGGAAGCTTATTCAGTTTTAGAGGGAACTGTGTTGTGACGTCACTTTCGGGCTCCTCATCCGCACCACTCTTGGATAAATCCTCCTGCATCATGAGCTGCTCTGGAGGGACCAGGTCGTGGGTGACCAGCGAGCTCCCAGTCAAATCGTCATCGTCGTCATCATCTTCATCATCCTCCGCAAGGATGGGATGGTTCACAAGAGATCGCTCACCGAGAGTCATGACCACCAGCCCCGGTCCACTGCCCACTCTGCCCCCCATGTCCAGCCCTGCACTGCTGCACTTCAGCAGCAGCCGGTCCAGCTTTTCCTCGGTGTTCATAGTGGAGTCACAACTCTGTAAATTGAGGTGCACACATTAGTTTAATAAAGTGATAACACTTTATTTCAATAAGGTAAAAACAGTCTCTCACAGGGTGGTATGATTCAATTTACAATACAATACCAATACAATTTATTCTTGTATATCCCTAATACACAACTGTAGTCATCTAAGAGGACATAAGAAAAACCATTGAAATGAATTGCGCAAATGTATTTAATACTGCAGCTCATGTTCTGCACTACATTTCTATGTTTTACCAAATAGTAATTGTAAGCGGATTATTCTTATTTACATGCAATACTATTGTAGTGCTGTCATAAAAATGAATATTGTAAAACATATACCAAGCAGCCCAACTGTACGAAATTCAGTGTCATGATATCAATATCTCAAGATGCAGAGTTTTTGCTAAAGGTTATGCATTTTCATAAGTAAGGAAGCACTGCTACTATTACGTTATTATAATAACTAAGGCCTCTTTGACGCCAGAGATTTTTTAGACATTTTGAGGTCATTGGACATAGCCATCTGATTGTATAATAGGCTATTAAAGGGTAATTCACGGTATTTAACGCAAATCAAGGACCGTATTTTACATTACAAGAGTTATGACTACATGATGTACATTTTGCATCATGCTCTTGAAGGAAAAAATATTAGAGAAGACGACCTGTTAAAATAACCCACACAAACACACTGGTCTTGCAATCAGACAGAAATAACGTCGATTTGAAGATGTTTTGTAACTTATAAAGGCTTTAAACATCAAACCCGGCGCTAACATAGCACTTGCAGGCCAATGTTATCAGTGACCAGCCTGTAGTCTTAATATATATACAGTCTATGGGTCTTACCTGTGTGCTGACCTGACTGTCAGTCTCAGAGCTCAAACACCCACCATTGGCCTCGTTTGTAAACAACTCTTTTAGTATCATACAGGTTAAATTAGTTAAATCTTGTGCCTCAAAGCTTGTTCCCGACTGTCAACTCTGCATCCATGTCCAAGTAAGTACAGGAAAAACTACATGTGCTTTCAGTATTGAGGCACTAACATACGCACTGCATGTGTTATTTATTCTATTTCAGACTCACTTCCGCACAGACATCACTGCGATCATCCACACACCGCATGGAGATGGTGTATCAACGATAATAGTCAACACAGAAAGTAGATGTTCAAGTTTAACTAGTGCAGCATTGTGAAGGCTGAACCGGAAGTGTGAGTGTTGCACATGGAGCTTGACAGAGCTGCTTCTGATGAGCTAATTTAGCTTCTACCAACAAATAACGCGAATTAACATTTTTATATGAAATTCCACTAAAACCCACTATGTGTTAAATCTAGACACGCCTTAAAGAGGGTACAACTCCTGGATTGTATCTGAATAATGCTGCTGAAGATCGTTGGGGCTAATGCTAGCTTCAGTGCACAGGCCAAATACTGGAGCAGATCACCTTCGTTTGCACTGGACTGTAAACGTCAACAAATGCACAATAATCATGATGACAAAACAGCGACACTCACCTTTAGTGCTGATCAATCGCCTGGAGTTTCCATGATTGTTATGCAAGACTACAGTGCAATGGTGATGTTCGGGATAATAACGCACGATCCCATCAACCAGCAGCGTGTGTTTGTCGCCCCCTAGTGGTCACACCGGATGTACAAATAATATTAAGATTTTATCAATTTACTGACATTTGGTACTAGTTTACGATTTTTCCTCAATTACACAACACATATCTGTATTTTGATGTACTTAGATCTATCTTGACTATTTTATTATGCACAACTTTTTTATTGGATAAAAATATTCTTAAGGGTAAGGCAAACCCAAGCAAAACTATCAGGTATGTGTGTGTTAGACTTTGTATTGTATGTATGTGATTATGAACTGATTGATTCGATGTCATGCATATATAATGTGCATCATCATGCCATAGACCCCATGAAGCTCTGCTCTGCATTAAATGAATGGGGATCCTAAATAAAAAAATAAGATTAAACAAAAAAAAAAGCAACAACATTAATATTCTTCCTATACGTACTTTTATTAAACGAGGTATTGGTAGGCTACGTCTTTAATACACTTTTATGAGCGAACATGGGATGACGGATTTGGGTGCATCAAGTGGGACGTGTGAATTGGATACTGTGGTTGGTCATCGCCAAAGAACTCTGCAGTCATGATACAACTCCATATGCGTCTCACACAGATATGCAGGGAAGAATAATAATCAACCTGTTTGCAGCAAAAGCGCAGCGCGCAACTTCTGACTTGTCCGCTCGTGCGATGCGCGCGTCCAAACGCCTCCTGGAATCACCTGCTGAATGTCATTGGCAGCTCACAGCGGGACCTTGTCTTAAATAGCTGCTGCCACTGCTGTCTCTCTGTGTCTGTGTAGATATGCGACAGGCGTTTGAACCGAGTGGATGTGGGGACACACCGTACTGCCTGTGAAGGGAAGCCCCACTCTGTGCGCGCCAGCAGCAGGAGTGTCCGTGTAGCTGGGGAGCCCGTGCGTGTGCGTGTCCGCGTTAATCCGCGGGCTCGTCCTCAACAGTTGCCAGAGGAGCGAAGGTGAGGAGCGGAGGACTCGGACTGAGCTCGGACAGCGCGGAGCCCCACCGCTCTGTCGGCTCTGCCCTGACATGCAGTCGCTCATCTCTCCGGTGACCAAGGCCATCCTCGTTGCGCTCTTCATATTCGCCATCCTCCTCATCCTCTATGTGATCCTGTGGTACATTTGCAGAGACGTGGACTGTGACCACGGGATCTGAAGACTCACTTTCACGCCATGGGTCACGCAGTGGAGCCCAGGGTCACGCCGTAAGTCCGCTTCTATTTTATGTTTGCTGCTGATTTGTTTTTTGTGTAAACTCGCACTCCCGTGCGTAATGTCAAATGTGCTCTGATCCAGCGTGCTCTCCAACGGCACCACTCCGTTTCTACAAACACAGCACTTTACATTTCCCTTGCAGCAGCAGGACGCGGTGGTCCACGGAACACTCAAACACTCAAAGGTCACACGAAGGATACTTAACTAACTAGAGCGTGACGCGCGCGTGGTTGTGCGTGGAGTTTAGACACCGCCGGTGACATTGCGGTAAACGGCGTGGGTGTCCCTTAAGGTCAAGAATAAGTGTTTATTTACTTATTTCCGATCTCTGGTTCTGTCAGCTGTTTACTGTGACGTGAATCTGCAGCAATAGTTCACGCTCAGTTCATCTCTGTCTCGGAGGATGCTACAACATTGGCATTTTACATCCAACCAGATAACGGGATTATCTCTATTGGTTCTTTTGCATCTTCATCCTAATTCGTCTTGTGCCATGTTTTGGTGTCGTATCACAAATGCCACGATAATGCCTTTACGCAGAGAACATGAGTTTTTCCATTGATCTAGTCAAACCCTTCTTCACACATGTCCAGCTCCCATTTCAGAAAAGGAGAATCTCCTCAATATTGCAGGCACGTTGGCACCCCGCTGCCTTTTTACAGATTGGGTCAGACATTCTCAAATTTAGCAGTTTTATTCAATTTTTATCACAATTTCAATCAAAAGACATTTAACAATTCATCATACTAAAGGAAGGACATTTCAAGGACATACACTTTTAATGGATTTGAAACCGATCTCTGCAATAAGCACGGAGGCACGGCAGAGTCACGCCAGTTAAATGCAAATCTAAATTTTAATGATTTTGAGCAGCATTTTGAAATGTGCTCTTCTTTACCAAATGTGGGTTTCTTAGAGCCTTGCATTTCTATCAGGCAGCTCATATTTTAAGCTTCAAATTTTAAACTGACTTTTTCTGATCTATCATCACCACAAAATACAAATCTAGAGACATATGCAGGTTTTATAACTTGTCAAACTGTTGCATAATATAGACACTCGGCTGGGAGACACCTGTATGACAGCAGCACAACATGATTGATGCACAACGAGATAATCCTTTCACACATTTGGATCCAAAGAAGATGAGATGTCTTTATTTAAAAAGGTGTCCATGAATGTCTGCTCGTCACAGTTAGCAGAGGCTCTGGGGGTTCAGACAAAAAGACGATTCTCAGTGAAGAGGATGAAGAGGATGAAGAGGAGAGAGGTGTGAGGACGTTTATCATCATCTTGTCTTCCCCTTTTTTAGGATTAGACCTGGGTATTATTCTTGAACTGTAGAATTGATACATTACAATACTTTTACATATTCATATAGGCGTATATGGAGAGAATGCCTCCTAAGCTTTTGTTTGTTTCATAGTATTTCAAGGACTCGTTTATTAGTTCCTTTAAGATTAATATCAATAAGTCATAAATCTACCCCCAAAAATGCATTACAGTATTTTTTTTTGAAGGATCACCTCTGCCACTACATCATCCAGTCTCGACCGTCCCGCATGTAGAGACATCTGCACTGCACTAAACAGATATGGCGTTTCTCCCAACAGACATTTTCCAATACTCTGAAAATGATGTGTGAATTTATCTTATTTTCACAGTGAGAAGTTTATGTCAAATCCAAACTTGCTTCGATTAAATATGAACGAAAAATTATAACTTATTGAAAGCGTCTGACGAGTGATTTGTAAATCTCTCCAGACTTGCGTTGGTGGAGGGCGTTTTGACATTTGTACTGAGGTGTAACCTATTATAGAAAACATGTCGTGATTTCAGACCTGTTTATTTGCACAACAGCCTAAATATCAAGGATAGATTGTTTCATGAAATAAGTATGAAGGAAAAAGGTCAACATTTTCCACAGGAGCCGTGTGCCGGTTAATGTCAGGACAGAGTGGAAATGGAAGCAACAAGCAAAGGGTTTTATAATCCAGTATCTATATTTTTGGGCTTATTTTGGCTTTTTAACGTGAAATAGATGCCAATGAACGTTAATGTCTTAATAAGTGTGCATGATTTAGACATGGGTTTGATCCCGGCCGTTTCATTATGACTTGTATATTTGAAATGAGCTAATTTACTCATTGAAAACCCTCTTTTTAACTCATGCAGCGTTGAGCGGCAAACCACAGACAAGCCGCTTAGCCACGAAGATGCATTTGGTTAATTCAAATTCTAACTGGTGTATTTTCTCCAGATGTGAATGAGCTGTTCGCAGTTCAATATTCCCTTCAGTGCTGTTGGCTCCATCCCCCATGATCCCAAGGAAGGAAGAGGATGAATGTGTAATTATTTGTGAATGAATAGAGTTTGTTTCTCAGCCCTTGATTTAAAGGCAGATATTTATGAAGGAACATTCAGGATCAGTGATTAGAAAAGTGGGTTACTTTCCCCATCTTCACATTTATCTTACTTTTTGCCTTTTTCTTTATTTATGAAACTCATCTCATTTCTTGACATTAGTACTATGTGTCCCTTGGCAATAGTTTCATATGGTTCAGGCCACACATGATTCAAAATAACTTTAGAATGAGCAGTTATTTTTCTTTAGACTAAACCCGTCTTGATCCAAAAACCATCTCATTACAAATACTTACATTGAGAACAGTGAGGGTCTAATTGGGCGTTGTAGATGTAGTAGAGACACCTCAAGGCCATAAAAATAGATTGTGTGTGACTCAGACGTTATGTAAAGTCCATCCCTGATCGGGACGCCCGCCTGGGGCACTTTGTGTCCGTTTATGTTGATGGGACAGGAAGTGAGGTGACACATGTCGGCCGCTGTGCCCAGAGCTGCGATATCCAAGGGACACTTGACTTGTGTCTTAAAGCCTTCTCTTATATTCTAAATATTGAAGAAGATGACATAGTCTGGGATCGCGTCTTAAATTCAGACAGAAGACATGTTTCATTGTCGATGGTAGACACAGCACGAACACGAACACACAACAGAATGCAAGTGTATTATACAGAGCGGAGGCATGGAGACCTCCAATCAGCAGCTTCCACGGTGTGCTTGTAGCTTGGCCTTCAGATAGACAAAACAAGGGAAAAGTACAGGCTTCTGCACATTGATAGATTGATGAGTTTAACTTTAACAAAAGTTGCTTAAAAGTGTTATGAAATCTCACATTAATATGAATCCTGTTTTCTGAAGGGGAATCAATGTGCGCCTCTGTTTTTAGTAGTCTGAAGTGATGATTATCTTTCTTTGTCAGTGAATTATGAACACACATTATACATGCTATAAACAGCTGCAGCCATTGGCTGATGTGTGTAGGCTCCATGGTGAACACTGGAGGAAGAATGAATTATTAAATATATTTTCACTGATTTACAATTAGATAAAATGTGGATTTATTCTTCCTGTCTGAGACGTCTCCCCTGCATTGGACTCCTTCCTGAATACCTCCGTGCCTTTGTGGCAATCGTGGTCATTGCGGTACATCTGGGTTTATTGGTGTTGTCCATAAACCTTAAATATTTGTCATGAATTGAAGCTCTTTTCAAATCTGCAGCAGTGTTCGATCACTGAGATCCTTTGGCAAGACTTCATTCTTCTTAAGCCAAAGTAATCGTTGTCTGCTTTATTATGGATTATTATGTTATGTTATTAATTGCTGTTCGATTCTTGAAATATGTGAAAAACAAAGGCTATAATTTCTTTTGTAAAAGCTTTTGTGCATTGGAGGAACTAGACTCGCTCCACATCTGTGATGTGAGGTGATGCTGTACTTGAAAGGACTCCGACCATAGATGGTTACTTTAGTTACTTTATAATGAATAGTTTCTTTGTGTGTCTCCAGCAGAATACATGTGTCTGGGTTAAATGAAGGTGCAGCAGGTGATGCGCTGAAGGTAAAGGCTGCAGTGCGGCTCAGTGGTTTTGTGTGTTAACAAAGCCCCTGAGAGGAGAGCGTGCGCTAAGTACTGCCCCAAGTGAAAAAGAACACTTTTAATTTCACTTAGAGCCCGTCAAATTAAATCTGCCGGTCTGAGTTGTACAAAGTTAATGAAGGTCCTTATTATTGAATGAGAGGAATAATCTTCTTCTGCTTATGCATTTTATTCTATGGGTCACAGACACAAGGAGAAATGCACAACATGGCTTTAGTGGTTTCATAATGTTAATGTTAGAGGTAGTTTGTATTGTTCACAGATTTCTGACCCTTTTACTATTACTATCACAACTACTACTACCATTACGACTCTGGTACTTCCATTTGTTCCAGCAAAGACACATTAAAGTGGGCTGTCAAATCTGCATCCTTCTTCGGCAAATAAAATAACTAAAATCCCCATGGATGAACAGACAGATGTGTCCAGGACTGACAAGCATCCATTTGCAGATAAAAAAAGAGTTATGTGACCGTATAACTAAATACTGAATGTTATATTAGGCAAGGCAAGTTTATTTATATAGCACAATTCAAACACAAGGCAATTCAAAGTGCTGAACAAAACAAGAAAGCATTAAAATCATAAATAATCACAGAACATTAAAAATAAAGATACAAATATAAAATCCCTCAGTTGTAGCACAGCTAAACAGAACTGTCTTTAACCTGGTTTTAAACATTGTCAGAGAGGAGGCCTGTCTCACATCTTCAGGAAGATTGTTCCAGATTTTAGCAGCATGAATCTGAAAAGCAGCCTCCCCATGTTTAGTTCTGACTCTGGGCACTAACAGGAGTCCAGTCCCTGTGCTCCTCAGAGTCCGGGCTGGTTCATATGGGACTAACATGTCACTAATATATTTTGGAGCGAGGCCATGGAGAGACTTGTAACGAGCAGAGCTGTTT